GTGTGTGTGTGTGTGTGTGTGTGTGTGTGTGTGTGTGTGTGTGTGTGTGGAGTTAGTCCGCACACATCCTCGAGTTGTCCATTAATGCACAGTCAGCAGCTTGCGGCGTTGATCAAATCAAAGAGAAACACAACCGGGATTACATTCATCGATTTTTAACCGAGAGCTAATTGTGCCTGAAAGTGCCGGGCTTTCTCTAAGGGTTCGTCAAAAGATGAATCCGCAACTGTCGTGGGTACGAGAGGAATGTTTCAGCCACTCCTCGTCATCTCAAAGAGCGTGTATTTAACTTACTCAAATTATTATTCTTTTTCTTCTTGCTTTGCAGTTCCCATACGCAGCCCCTCCACCTCAGGAACCGGTGAAGACGCTACGAAGCCTTATAAACATCCGCAAGGACACCCTGCGGCTTGTGCGGTACGGTTGTAATACAACTCCACCCCCTGCCTGCACCCGCGCACAAGCGCTGACTCAGAATGAGCGGCAAACAGCTAAATGGAGTCTTTGGAATTCAGCCGCAAAGACCCAACTGTTAGCAACTCTTGACAAAAAAAATCTGCACGAAATTTTGGTATCCCGGTGTCTCCGGGGCAACAACAATCCCCTTATTAAAATCCAGCGCTACTTCATAAAATGACTATTTTTAGGACCAAAAAATGAGCGCAAGTTCTTTGCTCGACCTCGCAGGTGCAGCGAGGACCTCAAGTTGCCCGGCGATGATGAGGCGGGCAAGCAGCGGGCCTGCTACAACGTGGAGTTCACCTTTGACGCCGACACGCAGGTGGCAATCACCATCTACTACCAGGCCATCGAGGAGTTTCACAACGGCGTGCCAGTGTAGGTTCTGGAGAAAGACGGCACAATGGGGTAGCGGTAGCTTTGGTTTTCTGATTTGTGGTTCCCTGTAGCTACCTGCCCCAGGACAGCTCTCTGCAGTCGGAGACGGTGCACTTCAAGAGGGGGGTGAGCCAGCAGTTCTGTCTGCCCTCGCACACCGTCAACCTCAGCGAGTGGGCGGACGAAGAGGTGGGTTGACCCCCGCGAGTTGTTTGACTCGGGTCAGACCGAAGTTGCCCATTTTTAGGACTTGGTACTTGCTTGGCTGCAGTTTCTGAAAGGCTCACCTTGACTTTGACTTGATATTCATGAGACAAGACTTGTAAGTTGGTGCTATGTTAAGTTTCGTCTCACCTGACCTTTGCTCCATACGTGACTTCGTACCGCCTCTGCCGTATTGAGTTTGACACCTCTTGTTTGTTCTCCCCAGCTCCTGTTCGACCCGGACCGGGAGATCTTCCCCATGGTGGTGCAGGCCGCGGTCGACGAGGGCGACGGTGAGTTTCGCTCCGACGCCGACGTGGCGCACGTAAAGCTTCAAGTGACGAACGTCTCCATGTTTTCTGTACGCAGAACACTTGGGCCACTCTCACATCCTGCTGGCCACGTTTGAAAAGGTAAACTTGATGGGACTTTGGTCTTGGAAGATGCACGATATGCGCATGGAAAGTAGAATTCCTCATACTGTGGTTTTCCATGGCAGCACATGGACGGCAGCTACTGCGTGAAGCCTCTGAAGCAGAAACAAGTGGTGAGTGCACATTTCTTTTGGAAACAAAAGCTTTTATGTCCCCTGGAGACGTGACGCTTTTTCTTCGTCTTTCATTTCCCAGGTGGATGGCGTGAGTTATCTCCTGCAGGAGATCTACGGGATCGAGAACAAGTACAACAGCCAAGAATCAAAGGTAAACACGACAAGAAGGCTTTTCCTGTCTGCCGCCTTTCAAAGTGCGCGTTTGTACGAGCGCGGGTCTTTTACCCCCACAGGTTGCCGACGACGAAATTAGCGACAACAGCGCCGAGTGCGTGGTGTGTCTGTCGGACGTGCGCGACACGCTCATTCTGCCGTGCAGACACTTGTGTCTCTGCAACGCCTGCGCCGACACGTTGCGCTACCAAGCCAACTGCTGCCCCATCTGCAGACTGCGTGAGTTCCCACACACGCACACAAATAGTGTGGAAGTGTTCTTTTGCCCAAAATTCTCTAACTGTTTTTTAAATTATTTTATTTTTTTATAGCTTTCAGAGCTCTGCTGCAGATCCGAGCAATGAGGAAGAAACTCAGCCCTTTGACTCCAACCAGCTTTAACCCAGTCATCACTTCACAGACGTCAGACTCAGAGGAACACTCGGTACGATTATGGCATTAATCTGCGCTAAATGGCTAGCTTTGTAATAAAAAAAAAAAAAAAAAAAAATTTAAAAAGACACCAAAACAGTAATTCATGCGCGTTTCTTTTTCTTTCCAGGCATCCGAGCATATCCCCCCGGGTTACGAGGCCGTGTCTCTTCTGGAGGCTCTCAACGGCCCCCTGGCCACGTCCTCCGTGGCGCCCCCGCTCCACTCCGGCCCCAGTCACGTGTCGGGGGCGCTCCCCCCATACGGCAGCGAAGCCCACCCGACGCCGGCCCGTTCCCTCTCCCCCCTGGACCACTCCAGCTCAAGTCAGGGGCTCAAACTCAAGAAGAGCGGTTCCAAGTGAGTCGATGAGCTCCTCCTGTGAGCATATTTTGCGCTGTCGTTGATTGTTCTAAAACATCTTCAAAGCCGTTCCAAACCACAAGTCTGCATACTTTAGGTCGCTGTCTCAGAATTCCTCAGTGCTTCCTGAGGAGGAGGATGAAAAGTCTTGCAGCGAATCAGAGGCTCGTCGCCACAAACGTACGGTGGATCCGCAGGAGGTGTGTCTATTTTGAGAGATATTTAGTCGGGTTTTGACCTTCTGTTAGAACGCTCCTCCTCTTTGCTTTGACAGTGCGGAGCCACGCCAGACAGTGAAAACCTGACTCTCTCCTCTTCCGGGGCCATTGAGCAGTCCCCATGCACCGGAACGCCGCTCTCCTCCACTATCACTTCCCCCGAAGGTAACACGAAACGTTGTAATCCATCAAATCATCTTCAAAAACAACGTCAAGGATACGCCGTTTGAAAAGTATGCGGTGGTTCTTACAAAGGAAGCTGCTATCAGATAGCCCCTAATATTGACCGCACGCCAAAAGCAGAAGTTGTCGGGAAGAAGATTCCAGGATGGAACGTATTATGGTTTCCATTTACAGTATAAGTACTACTTACCCGTCTGGAGGGCAAGATGTACACAGTAATTCGTAAATGTCGACAAATTGTGAAACTCCAAACCCTCAGTGCAGTTTATGGAGCGTTTTCGCATGAATAAATTATGAGCCGGTTCCATCGCAGCAGTTGGTGAATCTGATGGGGAGGATTTTTGGCATCAAACGGGCAGCGTAGGGACACTTCTGAGAGGAAAAGCTGGCCGAGCTTCAATCAGTCGTCTTGCGCGGCGGGAGCGATGCTTTAAAAAAAAAAAAAAAAAAAAAAAATGGCGACGGATCGTGATGTGTGTCTCCATGTATCTGCCAGACCCAGTGAGCAGCAGCCTGGCCCAGTCAGTGATGTCCATGGCCTCGTCCCACTCGCAGCACTCCCACATCAGCACTGACACCATGTCCTCCATGTCAGGGTCCTACCTGGCTGGGGCGGACGGCGAGCCCGGGGGGGGCCAGGAGGGGGTTGACGCCCAGGGCGAGGAGAACCGGGCCACCCCCATGGAGAGCCGAGGACCCTCACAGTTTGAAGGGGTAAATATTAGTGACGATGGATAAACGGGCTGCAGCGATTATTTTAATCCCGATTAATCTGTCAATCAAAAAAAATTGTAAATGCGCAGCCATTGGCTGAATTTTCACTGACTTTTGGCTCGCTCCCTTTCCAAGGAGTCAACCGACTTGAACTACTCCGTAGCCGTCGATGAGCAGGACTCTGAGGTGACTGCCACCTGATGACTCGCATCGGTGCTTCACGTCAACGTTTTATTTGAGCTCGTTTGTTTTTCTTAGGGGAACGATGTCACGGAAGAGGACCGCCCCTCACCATCGAACGGCAAAGGTAACTGCGGTGACCACCCCTCGCTTTACACCGTTGACATGCTCCAGGCAAAACCGATGAGGCAAACATCATTGGGTCCGATTAAGTCAATTTGGATCATTTCTTGATACACACCTGATAATCGCTCCTGGCATACCAACTGTGGTTGGAAAGTCCCCTTTTCATGGATGAGAGCACGGAGAGTTTGTCGGCCATTTCAAGCTTGCCTTTGCATGTCATGTACTACACCGTCATGCCATTCATCATAATTGCAGTTTGACGTTATTTGTTCCGTTATACACTCTTGTGTGTGCGGCGAGCCAAGAAACACACAGCACAGGGCTTGAAGCAAACAACAAACAAGGTCACCTTTCAACAGACAGCCCGTGACATGTAATTATGTACGGGTGGTTGTGTGCGCAACACAAGTGAGCACACTGAATGATCCTTCAGTTCTTTCGGGAGCAAGCGCTGCCTGGCAGGACGTACGCGTGCGTGCGTGTGTGCGTGCGTGTGCGTGTGTGTGTGACAGCACCAGCACTGCCAGATGGCTTATGCGTGTGTGTGTTTGTGTGTTGCGCTGCCAGTCGTGTGGCCACCCGTGCCTTTTTGTCCTCGTTAGTGCCAACATGCACACAGCTGCTGTCACATGGTACGCATGTCAAAAAGTCTTTTTTTTTTTTCTTTCTTATTTTAACATTTGCTTGATTCCTCAATAAATTGCAGCAAACATATTCACATAAATTGGAGCAGAGCATTTAGCTGCGTCATGGCTGAAATGATCCCCCCCAAAATAGCAACGACGAAAGGCCACAGTTATTGCTGTGCCACTCCAGTCCTGTAGGTGGTGGTAATGCACATTGCAGAGTGATTGTCAATAATCGGACAAAAACAAATGCCATGAAGCTCAATGCATTCAGCGGCGCTTCATTCTCGCATGGCCGCTCACCCCCCTTCCTGCCTGTCCGCCCCCACCCCTCCCCCCGCTGTGCCTGGCTGCTCTTGTTTGACCTGTGCCCTCGCTTGCAGGTGGGCGGAGCAGGTGTCCCGAGTTGGCCAATAATAATCAGGGCGTGGCCCTGTGTGACACGCCCTCTTTGGGCTTGGACAATGAGCAGGCTCCTGACGGCCGATTCGCCGGTGAGTGGACGCCGACCAGAAGTGATGGGATGGGGCACGCGAGCGAATCACACGTTAGCTCGCCAGGCTAACACGAAGAAGAACGAATGGCAGCAGAAGCTAACGTGGGCTTCTGTGCAGCTCTTCTTTTATTTAAATTTCTTCCCTCTGCTGCTTCATCGCTTGTCGATAGCGAATAGCCGTGCGCTCCCTCCGTCCCTCAGCCCCGATGTGTGTGCATGTGTGTGTGTTCATGATTGTCAGGTGTGCTTCATACAAGCATGTTCTCTGTCAGCGCGGCAGCAAAGAGTCTTGGTCTAACATGTTCCCTATTGTCCTCTGCCCTCCTTCATACCAACCTCAGGGCGGACTCACACGACGCCATTTGAACTGTGTCGAGTCACTTTTTATTTTTGTCGTTCAAAGTCCTGGTTATTACGATTTACTGGCGAGAGGAGTGAGCGCATAGTCATGACATGAGTCTTAGATGATTTCTATTGTGCAAGGTGGCGGCCGTTGTTGATGACTTACGAGGAGCAGTTAGATCTTACCATATTTCAATTCTCCAGGTCCATATATTTTACCTTTATTTCTATTGCGCAAAATGATGTAATCACGAGTAGAGTGTAATGGACGTTAGTTGTCAAGGAGGCTTGAGCACAGTTTGAATGGCCTCGTGCGACTCAAATAAGCTAATGCGTTCATTTGCTTTGTATGAACATTTCTAATTGACCCAAGTGTCACTTGTTTGCCTCGATATCCTCCATCCTCTTCACAAACCCGTTTCCCTTCCCCATGTTTTGTGTTTTTAGCTCAAAGGTAGCGCGTGGCGTCTTTTTCTCTCTGTGTGTGTCGTAAAATGTCTTCTGTTATCTCTCCCTCCTTCCCGTGAATTCCTCCCATCCCGTATTCTCCTCCCTGCCCTCCCTTTCTGCCCTTCTCTCGCCTTCTTTTGGATGGAAAGATGAGGAGTCGTGCCCGATACATATTGAGGACTAGGTATGCAGTGTTTGCCTCAGACCGTAGAACTGACTCGAGAGTTATGTTCATTTTATTATGACTTTTTCTTCAATAACACACTGCGTAATCAATCGGGCCTACCGTAGCACTTTCACAACAGCAGCACCCATAACAAAGGACAGAAAATGATTTTTTTTTTTTTGCTTCCTTAACACCACCAAATCTGTTCCCTTTGTCATGTCTTGTTCAGGTCTGATGTACCTCGGCGGCTACAGGCCCATACTGGACTCCACCAGCAACCGGGAGGAGCAGAGGGTGGAGAACCTGGAGGGCCAGAGTCCCAAACCCTCCCACCGTGGACCTCTCATTGTGTAGCGCGTTTCCACACACGCACACACACGAACAAACACTACTACTACTATTAGTACTACTAGCACTTCCTACTCAGTGCTTCATCGCTGGATAACGGCTGAGCAGGGAACCCCACCACCACCACCCACCAACACCACCTCCGGGTTCTTCTCCAGTGAGGTGTCATCTGAGCACTTTTATAAGTATTTTATTTCCCGGTCTGTTTTTATTTATTACCTGTAGTTTGAACTTACTCGTGATCGTTTTATGTTGTGACTTTTTTGGTTAGAAGTTGCTGCTGCCCCTCCTCCTTCACCAGCCAATCAGTCAGGGGCTACTGTGATCTGCAATCACCGTGTCAGTGCGCTAAATGCTCAAAACAAAACCCGCTCCTCTCTGGACGACTTTTGCTGAATGTGAAAACGAAAGCAGACTCGGGACCTGAACATTAAATGAATGTAGGAAGGTAAACTCCCAGAAGGAGGTGCTACTATTAAGGTAGGATGGGACTCGTTTTCCTTGATTTTTTGGAAAATGAGCACGCTCGATTCATCGCTGTACGCTATACAAAAAAAAAAAAAAGTAAGGCGTAATATTGCTTTTGGGTTATATTTTAGGATGAATCTAAAATGCACTAAAACCTTTACCGGTGCACTTAGTTTGAACTTCTGTCAAATTTTGAATGCTCACGTCCAACTGTTTGATGTTTTATATTTTTTGGGGGGTACAAGTTGCTGTAAGGAGCTGAATGTTAAAATTCACAGCCGTGAATCGGCCAGTAAAGTTCGTGGTTTGATTAGAACTAATATTTGGACACGCCTCTTCCAAGATGAAACCCAATAATTGATCGACAGAAGTGTGGCCTCTTAGCTTGGAGCGTCACAGAATGTCATCAGCTGGTTGCAACAGAGAGACTGGAAGAGTCACTGAAAGGCATAGAAGTGGATTGAACTTGTGAATTGATGTTTTGATTTTGCCATTCAGGTTTTTTTAAAAAAAATTTAAAGAAAAAAAGCAAGCTGTACAAAAAGTACTGAAACATTGAACGGTTGGATCGTGATTATTATGCCCATCACCGGCCACACTAATCCACTCCTTGAACTGGAATCAAACCCCCAACCACCCAGCCTGTGTTAGCATGTCAGTATTGTTGCAGTGCGACTCTCGGAAGCCATCACCCAGCAATAAAAGTGGCTTCATTTTCTCCTCAGTTTGCACTGAACGGATACATTTAGACACTTTGTTCTTCTCATGAGAATTTTAGTAACAGAGATTCATATCTTGATTTTTTTTTTTTCTAAGTTAACCTCCTCTTGATGTCAGTTTGTGTTTTTTATCCGTTGCGAAGCACTGTGTTGTTGATTAGAATGTGGATTAAAACCATGTGAAACGTTTGTAAAGGTTTAGAGCAGACACTCACATGGACTCACGTACTGTAGCCGTTCGTAAAGGGACATGAATGCACTCTTAAGCCGTTTCCTAGGCGACGTAACGTTGCGGTGCATGAGGCCGAAGGTGAAGCATTATACGTCCGGGTGGCAGGTCTCGCGTCTTTTTCGTGAAGTGGTCGTCTCTCGGGTGGGAACATCCATTTCCCGGACTGTCACATGTTCACAGTCTGAATGTGTCGTCAGCGGTGAATCCGAATCTGTAAGAGCAGCCCACTTTTTGTAGGATTGTAGGCGTGAACGTGAGACGGACAATAAAGTTTCGTTTGTTTTGTTGCAACTTCATCGTGGAGTTTGAGCGTGTTGTTGTTTTTTTTTAAATCAATTTAATATTGTGATTGTGCTGTCTCTGTCAAAGTCGATTCACCGCTATGCGGTTTCATTCTCATCTGGGTGTGGTTTATTTTTTTTCCCCCTTCCATAAATTAGGATCTTGTCAAAATAACTGAAGGTAGTTTTGAGACGCAATGATCATGGGAAAACAATGTGTATATTATCTATTTTGTTTTTAACACCTTTTTTTTTTTAAACCAGAGTTGCAACTGAACTTTTCCAAATGATCTCTTTTTTTTTTTTTTGCGCTGATTCCAAATCTGCCCTCGTTTTTTTTTCACCAACACATCAGGTTTTCATCATAATATGATATGCAATATAATATATCATATGACAATATATTTAGTCATATTTAGGGGTTAAGGTTTGGTAAAATCTGTACTGAGCAGGCAAAAAAATGTATTCTTGCATTACCCCGACTGGACAAACAAGAACTATTAAAAAAAGTTTTAGTCCAGCAAAAATGTGAATCATGTTATTAATTCTCCAAGCAAAAGTGCAGTAAAACTATTGAAAGTCTGAACCAAATGCGGTGTTCTAATGTACATAATTCAGTTATACGAGCCTTAAAAATCAATTTTGCAACTTTACTGGACAATAATTAGCGAGCTGGTGTAATAATGAGTTTTTTTTTGTGTGCGTTTAATGTTGTTACAATGTCATTTTGGTGATCAAGTGTCACTCTAATGGACTTTTGTGCACGTGTACGGAGCTTTGTCATTTTTTTTCCCCCCACTGTTTGATTATTTACCCTCACGGTGCTGCAGGGTCCTCTTCAAAACCGCATGACGTGTACCTGCTTCTTCTCAACCACCTCCGTTTTGCCCACCTGCTTTTATTTCTCACGGTGCAGCCTTCAAAGCAAGAACAGGCCCCTTCCGAAAGCCACGCCAACGCCGGATGTGTTTCCTCTTTAGCGCCCACTGTCATTACAAAAGCCAGTGGGAGGGGATTCTCATCTCTGGGTTTAAAAAGCTCTCGGACCATCGAGCCTCACATCACAGTGAGGATGAAAGTGCCGCTCATTGTCCTCATCCTCTCAGGTAAGAGCTTTTAATTCATATGTGAGAACTGTATCAAACATTTTTGAGCCAATTTGTGAAAACCTTACCAAAGCCAAAATGTGCAAATCGTTAAAAGGTTCACGAAGTAACTGCATCTCCAGGTGTGGGAGGGGCCTCTCCGGACAAGGTGTGCAGTTACCAGGATGTCGTGGACCATCTCAAACTGACATCAAGCAACAGAGCCTTCCAATTGACCCGGCCCGTCCTGGACCACACGCATCCCACCCTGGTGGAGCTCAACATCATCCTGTACGGCATCCTGGGCGTGGTAGGTCGTCGCGTTTGCTCGGTTCACGTTAGGATGAATTAGCCCGTGACGTTTTCCACATCCCCGTGTTCTCGCAGATCGAGAAAACGCAAACCTTCATTCCGTTTCTCTGGGTGATGATGGTGAGTGGACATTCACGTCGTCGTGTGCGTGTTTCACGCCGTGCCCCCTCCTCTTAATCGGTCTGTCATCCGCCCTCTCCAGTCCTGGAAGGACGAACGCATCTTTTGGGAACCGGGCGACTTTTGCGGGATCACGGAAATTACCATTCCGACCGACATGCTGTGGAAACCCGACGTCTTCATTTTAGAGATGTAAGTCTATGGCACACACACACACACAAAATCGTATAAATGAGTCATGTAGAAGGAAAACAGGTTGTTGCCTCGGCAGTGCTGCAGAATGCTAAATGCGCCATCCCTTCCTTTATTCTTTTGAGAGGTTCTGATGTGTGCTGACAAATATGACGCTGGGAATGCCAATAAGGAGCAATTGTTGGATCACATACAGTATATGCTCTTCCTTCTTGTGTACATACACTTATGACTGTTTAGACTCCATTATGTTGGAAAGCACTGTAAACACCGCCGCGGTCAGCAACAGAACACATGACCCAGGCGTACCGCAGCTTGTTCCATTATTGCGCGTGTTTTGTCAGGGTGGAGAAAGACAACTCGCAGTACAACCCTTACTTGCTCGTCAAGCACGACGGGATCGTCGCCCTGGATCAGGACATACGGGCCGTGAGCATGTGCATGATGGACGTGCACAAGTTCCCCTTTGACACACAGCGCTGCAACATAACGTTGGTTTCCGCAGTTCATCTGTGTAAGCGGCCTTACGGTGAAGTAAAACACTTGACGGTTTGGGTTTTGCGTCTGCCTTGTTTCCGGCCTTCCAAACATCCATTTCTATCTTTCGGTATTTTTCCAGTGCTTATCTTCCTCTCTGCGCAGATGAACACTTGCGTGTCATCCCGGTGGTCAACTCGTCACGGGCTACCCAGTTCACCAAAGCCATGATGCATTCCCAAGGAGAGTGGGACTTCCTCCATTTGTCCGTCAGCAGCCACAATATCACCATAGAGAACCAAGTGTGGGACCAACTGGTGTACACGGTACAACAGTTACGAAAAGTTCCCATCAAACGGGCAAGCGCGCCGTGAACCACCCCCCTTTGTCCTTCCAGTTCGTCATCAGGAGGCGACCCCTGCTGCACGTCATCAACTTCCTGCTGCCCATCCTCTTCTTCCTGTGCCTGGACCTGGCCTCCTTCTTCATCCCGGATCGCCACGGGGAGAAACTGGGCTTCAAGGTCACCGTGCTGCTCGCCATCTCCGTGCTGCTGCTCATCCTCAACGACATCCTGCCTTCCATGTCGAACAAGACGCCGCTCATAGGTATGTGATAGATATTTGTGCGGAACACCAGAACGCAATAGTCGTTGGGAATGACTTTCAATGTCCAATGTGACAGTCGTTAGAGTCAAACTGAAGTCTCAGAACACTGGCCAATAACAAGCGCAGACCGAGAGTTGCTGGTAGCGCGACAGGGAAACTCACATTGTGATGTCATTGCGGTACAACATTAACCAGCCACGAGGACTGGCAAACAGAAAGCAGGGAGTGCCAAGGCAGAACTTGTACTTGGGGTGGGTGGGGCGGGGGAGACTGAGGTGAGGAAAGTAACTAATGAGGTGGGCGTGGCTAACTGGCAGAACAGAGCAACAGTGGGATGAACACAAAAACCCACAGCGCGACCAGTCAAACAAATGAAAACGAATTGACTTTCGACATGACTTGTGCGTACCCTCGCTTTGGCGAGGTATAACAAAATGACATGTTTTTCCACCCGTAAGCCACCTACTGCATCGTCATCTTCGCCCTGATGCTGATCAGCCTGCTGGAGACCATCATAGTGGCCTACCTGTTTGAGGGGGACTCGCAGGAGGACCCGGCGAAGTGCGCCAGGAGCAAACCGGAGATGAATAGAACCGATAAGTCTGACGCCGGTACGTTTCCCTTTGGAACTTCTGAAACCATCACTGATTTTGTCATGCTAACCCGCTTATGTGTTTTCAGAAGAGAAAAAACAGACCGAATTTTTGTGTACGTGTGTTTTGAGCGCAGAGAAACAACACGACCTGCGACCTGAACCAGAAGAGGTAAACCGTCACTCATCAAAATGTGTGGACAAAAATATTGGGACACATTACCCCCTACAGAATCATTAGAAGCTGTCATGTCATATCGTGTCAAGCAGGTCAATTGCAGCGTGCCGAGCGCCGAGGCTGGGCTGTTGCTACTGCTGGTGAACGAGCTGAAGGAGCTACAGAGGATGTTGAGTGTGCAGCATCGCTGCAAGAGAGACCGCAGGAAGTCTGTGCGCTTGGCCAGCAAAATCAACAAAGGTTTCTTCTTCATCTATCTTGCCGCTGCCACACTCTTTCTTTCATTCCTCTACCGGGACTGGATGAGTTAGATGTTTTAAATATCCTCACTGTAACTTTATTATTATTTTTTTTTAAAGATGCATCCCCAAAATGCTGATTTCTTTACTCCAATTAATGTATCTTTGGTCGACCATCGATGCCAGTGATGTACACTATGATGACAGGAAGTGTAATAACATTTCCTTCCACTAGATGGCAGAAGGCACATGCTGTCATTCATAGAACATAATCATCGCTTTTTGTTGAATTTAACGGGGTCAGATTTTGTAATTAAATGAAGAGGAGATCACAATTATTTCATTATGTATACCTTTTGTAATATTTTTTGTTTTTGTGGCGTGCCTTGACTCAATAAAGGTTGGGAAACACAACATTCAGTTATCACGGAATGTGTTTTACATACCAAATCTGTTCGCGTTATCATGTTGTTTTATGTTTGTTTATTTTTGTTGAGTAATACTTTAGTTTGTTAATAATACGTTCGATTATCCATCCATACATCTGTTTATTATGACAGTTATGTTGAAATGAGGATGTCTGATCATATTTTGGCTTATTATGATCATACAATCTATTACTTTTGGTCAATGTAACAAACACAAGGGCTATTTTTCTTATTTATGAGGCTATTAGAGGCCTCTCCAAATCCGCAAGTTGATTGCCGAAGTTCGCAATTAGTTCATGGACGCGTGTGTATGTTCATCTCTTGCACAACTTGTATTGAGTTAACTCTTTGATCACAAATGAAATATGTACATGGAAGAACCGCAACTCCACATCCGCTCATCGCTCCTCCTTCATAAAGGACACCCCCGAAGCGACCACTTGACTGTGTGTCAGTGACTTCATCATGTTCGCAGCCCTCCTTTCCCTTCTCGTCTTCTCCGGTAAGCAGGCTCACACTTGAATGAATGTGTATTGATTTTTAGAATACCGCTCCCATTTATCGTGACTGTTTATTCGTGACTGTGTGTTTGTGGTTAAAAATGTCCAATTTGTGGGCCCCCGAGGTCTGTCACAGTTTGTTTCAAATGATAGATGAGCATAATTTGCCAGGTGATTTGTTCGATACTCAAGTCAAGATGATGTTTTAATGGGGTGAGACTGATGCCCAGCTGCAAATGGATGTTCAATTGCTAACTTGTCACACGTTTTGGATCATCA